GTGGGATTGGTCTAGTTGTTAGCATTTGGCGAGGATGTCAGTAAGCAGGTAGACATGCCCACTCAGTACAGATGGGAGTCTTCATGGACACGCCGATGTGGCAATTTGCCTCATGGAATCAAAGTCTTAAAAAAACCTCACACCCATCACCCAGCAGTGCGCCAACCATGAGTCCGCCGGTCCCTTGCGCAGGATGTAAAACCCTAAATCCTTCGAAAGAAGCAAATCCAACCTCCCACAGCAAGAAACGGTCTGTGCTGCCCGGAGAGCTGGCGTGGCCCCTCTCCTCCTCCGGCCTCCGGCAAGCAGGGACCAATTTTCTGTGCCCACGACAGGGCCTGTTCTTGAGACCCCGTGGGTGAGGCCCCGCACCGCTGTCGTTGGTGCCTGGCTTGCGTCCCGAGCACTGTGCTTTTGCCTCCACGTTGTTCGTGGTGCGGCCCATTCGTCCGTGGTCCCTTGGAGCACTCTCCTGCAAGGTGGGCTTGTATCCGGCCACCCTGCCAGACCCACTTGGTAATTCTAGGAGCTTTTCCACAGAGAGGCCTTCGACGTTTTCTTTTTCGATGTAGGCAGCTGGGTGGTCTGCAGAGAAAGACCTCTTACTTCTTCCTTTCTGAGCTGTGCGACCTTCGGTTCTTTTTCTTGCCTGATCGCCCGCGGGACGGCACAGCCAGCCTTTCCGTCTCTATGCCCGAGCAGCAGCCTTTGTGTTACAATGTTGCAACTGTTACAATGTAGCAAACACTCCCAATGGTCTAAATCAGCGTTCTCAGCCTTCCTCATGCCAGACCCTTTCATACAGTTCCTCCTGTGGTGGTGACCCCGCAACCATAACAGTATTTCGTTGCTACTTCGTAACTGTCATTTTGCTACTGATGAATCGGGTGACCCCTGTGAAAGGCTCTTTCCACCCCCAAAGGGGTCACGACTCACAGGTTGAGAACCGCTGCTCTAAAGAGAGGCACAGAACAGAAAACCCAGGAAGGTAAGAGGAGACTTACAACCAACTGTCCACTCTGCCATCTATGTGGCTACCCCTCATGAAGCCCCCCCACCCCCATCATGGTTTAAACAAATCGGGAATTACAGTGCTCAGTATAGAATTTCCTTTAAATGTTTAGGTCATTTTTTGACATTTTTATGATGCGTGACCTGCTTTTACAGCAAGCAGTGCCCCCTGTGGGTTTTCCAAGCCTGTACCTCTTTACAAAGCCTCGTCTTCCCCTAAGGCTGCTGGTGGCTTTGAACCACAGACCTGGTGGTAAGCAGCCCGACATGTAACCACTACGCCACTGGGGCTCCTATATCACCAGTAAAGTGTCATTCAAAAGAGGGC